GAAATGAAGGTCCCTCTAACAATGTTATCTCAGGAGATTCATCGAAACCCAGTTTTTCTTCGTATCTCTTCAAACAAACCCAGTCTTGCCTTTCTTGAGAGAGTTAAACGTTATTGACTCTTGACGGAAAAGTTAGGACAAGTTATTTCGTAACTTGATTATCACACTTATAAGCTCATATTTTATTATCTCAACCATACTTTTTTACGGACCTAGGCAGTTTCGGTGAAAAAGTTTATCTTGTGTTATTAGGTCTTGATGATCAGAACCGGAGATTTAACTTTTGACAAGTCTGATTTAGGGACCGTATTGCATACAGACACTAACACGCACGAATATACATACTCATACAATCGAGCACAAATGACAGGATCAGTATGAAAGGAAATTAGCCAAACCACTCTATATTGATCTATCTAGGTTTTTTAATTTTTAATTTTTTGGCTGGATTGAGTGTATATAAGTAGTAAGATGAAGCCGGATAGTGTTCTTGGTTTAGTATTAACGTGAGACTCTTACAAGAATGAAACAAGGCTCAGCACGTTTTCACCCGAAACGAGGGAGGGAGTCTCGTGGACTGCGTCACCATGAATTTCGTATAAAAACTAAACAGCTGCAGTACAACAAGTTTCATCTGTCCTCATCCGGTAAAATCGACCAACGAATCTCTTCTTCGTGCACTTTATATCGAAATGAAGGTTACCTTAACAATGTTTTCTCATAAGATTAATCGAAACCAACTTTATCTTTGTATCTAGAGTATTTTTGTATTACATGATTTCCTAGTAAAACCTTTGTTTGATCAAAGCTATCTGATAACATTGTTTCATGCTGCATCTTATATTATATTTATTTTCAAATATGTTTTTGGTGTCAATTCTATCATCAAATCTCATGTTACCTCAACTTCATGTATTATACTCTCTAAAACCGTATTTATTTATAGATATATATACTCGTTGATACTACTACTACTTGCTGCATACACGATATTCGTTTCACAGATTTCGCTAACGCCTTAGGACCACTTTAGTTCTGCCTCTTAACTTTCTATCATCTGAGATTATATTCAGATGGCTTCTGGGAAATTCTATTGAATGAGAGAAGGCCTTACCTTTCGGGAGTATTCCGTGCATCGATTTTCTATTTCTCTAGTGAATAAATTCTTACTTGAAAAGTATTATCTGACTTGGATTAGTCAGATTAGATTTCATTGGAATCAAGACAAATGTTCTTGTCAAAATCTTACTTAAATTTATTAAAGGGGGCCAGATCCAAAATATGGGTTTGCTGAAATTTGTAAGGGGAAGCAAATTTGGTCTATAGATTTTTTATTTAAACTACGGATTTTTAAATTTGTTTGTTCCTTACTTTGATCAGTTCCGGGTAATATCTTGCACTAAAAATGAAATTGCTGTAATCAAACTCGGAATTAACAAGGAACACTAAAGTAGATTTTTTTACAGTTCAGGCAGGTCATTGAAGGAACTCATTCAGGCTAATATACAATTGAAAATGCAAACAAAATATGTTCGGTATGAAATAAAATGGCTTTATTTTAGACTCAAATGCACCGAATTCTGCATAAAAAGTTTACTTATCAAACACAATTACAGAATTTAGACGTTTTGCATGAGTCCGCGAGTAATATGAGAACTCACGCTCTGCGTGTCTAAATGAATAATGCTTGCGTTATAAAATCGATTATTACAGCTGCTAATTAATCAATTCCTACCTACAATATTTCTACCAGGCTTTGCTCTTATATTGTCTGTGGATTGCACCATCGCATCTAAAGGAGCAAAGCTAGCGGTCGTTCATGTAAGCGAGCGACTAATCAAGCATCAAGAAATGCGAATTGTTTGGAGTAAAGAACCATAGCCATCACGACAAAAGAAGAAATTCTCTCATAAATTAATTTATTGTGTAAGGAAAATAAATGCCAGTCAACTCCTATGAAAATTAAAATATATGAAGTTCAAAGCAAATCAAGACATACACACATCTCATATCTATAGGAATGGAAGTTGGAATCAATAGAAAAAAATTGCTTTCTCCATTACTCTAGATATTTTTTAAGTTTATCACCATATGTTACAGACTTTTTCATATTAATACTAAAATTTATTCCAAACTTTTAACAATATTGTGTTAAATTTGATAGCAAACACACATATATCTATTGAAACAAGGCCCGAAAGTGCAAATAGGTGCTCAGACCAGCTAGATTTTCCTGGAATTGATGCATTCTTGTGGCTTAGGGAGCAAACTTCTTTCTTCAAACTTACGAACTCATTTTTTCAGCAATGTTGTTAATACTCAATTAGCTTAGAGCCCATTTTAAATGTGAAGTCAAACCTTCGCATCACTTTTCTTTGGAGGAGCTTCTAGTGACATCCTTCGGATTAAGATATAGAGGGTTGATATGGGATGTGTTGAACCTATTTAATTTAAGATGACGACGGATTGGTTGTCTCAAACTTTACTTATAAACGAAATATCGACGGTTTCTTTTATCAATACTCTGATTTAAGATATCTAGATACTACCCTAAAATTAAAACGAATTTTAGTGCATACCTAACGCAGTGTGAAGTGCTCAATCTGAAGAGCATATACATATCAATTTAGGAATACATTTAGACAAATATTTTAGTCAAACTAATTTTTTTCAACAAAGAGTACAGTTAAGGACTAAGCAAAACACCAAATGTCTCAAATTAATAAGCTTAAATATGAGTCTTTCACAATGTTTGAATTCATATTGTAAGTATCCCATTTACTGAGTTTAGGCCCACAACAGTTTATTATAGAGGATGATTCATTTTTAGAAAGCATCTATGTATCCTGAGTCGTATGATACAAAACGCCGGGAATATACTCTTGGCAATTAGTAACTTATTCTCCTTTTCACAAAGCCTCCAAACCCACTGATAAAAGGTATCAATTATTGGTAATAAAGCCAGAGTTAGATATAAAATAATGTTTGATCTCGCGAATTCTATGTGTAATAGTCCTTCCTATCAGATTTCTGCCAACATATTTGATTAGAGTCTGTATCCTCCTCACCTCAGCGCCACAATACTTCAAGGCTGAGAAATGTCCAACTTGCGCATGAGCTTAGGCTTTTTTTCGATGTTTTATAGGTTTCTTCTGCCACCAATATGATCTATTTGTACCTCAAAGTTTCATCCTCTTATTTTCATCAAACAAGTGTATAAGTACTAAGTTACTCATAATGAATCCAAGAAGGTTCTTTAAATGACTTATTTAATTGCCGGTCTTACTAATGGACACCAATTTTTAATTCTAGAATATGGAAAAATTGTATTTTCCTATTTAAACCTGACCTGCAGTGGATTCTTGTACCCAGAGATATCCTCATCTTTCTAGTAATACCAACCCGTGATGTCAACCATAGAGAACTTGCTTATTGCATGTAAATGAACAATTCTAGATTATAATATATGATATAAGTACAATAAATTGAACTTAAGTGTAGAACTATTCATATTTATTAATATTTTTTATTCAGCGTCGTCTACATTCTTGTTGAAGCTGAACCAAGCTGCATTCATCTCACTGACCAAGAAGGGAACCTACCTTTGCATTTGGCTGCCAGTGGAGACCACGTGGACGTGATTCGGGCACTCTTGGATGGAAACGCCAACATCGACTCTAGAAACGTCAGACGATGGACTGCGCTAGACGCTGCCGCTGCAAATGGAGCAATCAAAGCTGTAAATATGCTGATAAAGCTGGGCTGTTCTGTTGAAAATCCGGAAGATGCTGCAGTGAGCATGAGTATAACTAATTTTTTATCATATTATTTATTTGGCGATCAAAACTGTTGTCTTTATCAAAAAGCTTGCACAATTTGGCTATCGGAAATTCATCTTATTGGAACAAATCTCGTATAACAAGACTAACTCGAGATAATAGCCGTAATTCCCTTTTCTCGTTTCAGACAATGTACCGTCTAATTAGGACAGGTTTGGTACAAGTCAGTGTAGCGTTGCCGAATCTTAAAAAGCTACGAAATGCCTCTGTCTAAGAGAATTTTATTACTGAACTAAATAAGATGCCAACTGGTTAGCATCAATAATCGATGGCTTGTGGAGATGCATAGGATATCGAGATTTGCTATCTCAGTAGAATAAACTAGGAGAATATTGGGACTAACGCCAAGGACAGCAGAGAACATCCCAAAGGAGGGATAGGGAAGGTAAGGATTCCCAGGAATTGATGAAAGAGCGGGAAAAGAGCGAAGTCTCATTGCCTTATCGGTCTGAGAATGGGTAGGCTACTATGCCAACAAGAATGCTTGAATGAATTGTGAAATTAAAAAAAATAATTAGTGAATTAGAATGTG